CAAAACACGCGCACAAGGAAGGGAGGGGAGGGAGAGAGAGAGAGAGAGAAAGAGAGAGAGAGAGAGAGAGAGAGAGAGAGAGAGAGTATTACTGGGTGCAATCCATGCTATTAGAAATAGGGAAACTAAGATGAGCATTGCATTTTATGGGAAGGTCTTGGATGAGAGAGGCTACAAAAGGAATGCGATATACAGAAGCCATGTCCTCAATGCATTGACATATATTCCCAGGTGCTAACTCATCACCTTGGGCCACCAAGTTCAATGTCCTCACCGCCTTACAACACTCGAGTGATGGATATTGAGGATAGTTTTTTCCGGTAAGGAACCTCAGGCAATTTCTGAATTCATGCCAGGCATAAACACAGAACTGGGATGCTTGTTGAGCATTGGCTGATCCACAAACTAAGAGAAAGATGCTCACATAAGCAAAAAGATGAGCCATCGATCACTAATTAAATTGTTAATTAATTTGGATTTTATATGATCGATGCTTTTGTTTTTTAATGTCTTAGAACTAATTATAGATTTATAAGCACACAAAGCTTATTCTTTTTGGTAATCCAAGAGACAGGTAATCTGTTAGTTTGTTGAGTGCTACCTGGGCAAATCAACATCATGCTTCATGAATGACTTTGACAATATAATATAATACATAAACATATATATATGAGAAACAAAACAAAAGGATAAAGGAAAGACAAACATTAATCTGAAACTAGAATCCATAAAAATAAATTGATTTGCGATTATAACTGAATTAGGTTGTTTAAATAGTAAACTCAAAGCCATAATAATCGTAGGAAACAATTCAATCTTTAATGTAAATAAATATAAATAAACCTTTATTAGTAAAATAATATCCCAAAAATTTATTTTTTGTCAAAATCCTAAAAACTATTTATTCCATAATTTAATTATTTTTTTTGTTGTTGATAAAATGGGAGAGGGGGGGGGGGGGAAAAACCCCAAAAAAAAAAACAAGAAAAGACAAAAACTAAAAAACAAAACAAGAAAAGAAATTAAATATAAATCTTGCCAAAACCATTATCATCTTGAAATATTCTCCAGACCTGAAAATACAAATGATAGGCCTTGCTTCTTTCCTTGGGCCACAAGTATGATTTTCCATCTTTGAACCCATATTTCATCATTTTGAATCGTTTTCTAAATTTCTCCACAAGATTTAACCCCATCTTGTCCTATATCAAAATTTCCTTTCAACACCAACGAGAGTTTGGTTGAGTTGGTGAGGATCGTTTTCGTCACGATCAAGGTCTATGTTCAAGTTCTGCTGCCAACAATCCTTCTTAGTCAATAGTATGTAAAAATCAAAAAATGGCTAAAGAACCACTCTATAAGTCCTCAAAGAGGCCTTGGTATGTCATGGCCCTGGAATGGCGTAGCCTCCCCTCTCCCTAAACTTTTATTCATAATAATAATAATAATAATAATAATAATAATAATTTCCTTTCAACAAAAATGGACCCAAAAAAGAAGAAGCAATTATTCGCTCACCCAAAAAAAAGGGATAGGGTACTTCAATTAGAGAAAGTATCTACTTTAAGTGGTTTGTTAGCAAACTTGTACCATTTTCGTCACTTGTCATCGTGCCAAACTAAAATGGCTTGAAAACTGCCACATTTTCTGTAAGCATGTGTTTTGTGTTGTTACTATAGCCCAGTCTTCTTGTAGTGCTTTCATTTCTTAATTGCTATAAACATTTTCTTTTATGAGATTGTTATAAAACATTCGGATTGCTCAGCCACTTTACAAACTTCGCTAAAAATTTATTTATTCTTTGTTGTTTTGAATGTTAGAAGGTGATATTTGATGCCGAGGGATGAAATCTTGCTCATGTCACGTCGAGGTACTGCTGAGGAAAAAACTGCAAAATCCGATCTAATTTATCTACTTAAGAGTTCACACGATCTTTATTCATTGTGAATTGATTTTGAATTGACCCGACATACTCCCACACTACTCAATAAAAATTCCCCACATGAAGGATTTCTTTCTGCATAAATTCATTACGCACAAAAGTACCTGCACATCATCAGGAAATATACCGAACCAAGCAAGTTCACTAATAATAAACAAAACTACTAAGATTTTATGAATCAAAGGGATCGTGCCATTACATGCTTTCCTTTTTTCACTAGGAATATATAGCACTCCCTTGAAATGATGAAATTCAACAAGATACGGCCTTGACCTATTGCCCCAATCCTCTCCGGTAACCCTGCAGAAAACAACTTAGATTAATTGCTGATTAATTAACTGTTTATGCATAGAGAGAAATTAATGAATATTTTGATACAGCACTTACTCATCTGTTCATAATATTCTACCAAAAAGAAAAATTATGTTCATAATATTCGACCAAAAAGAAAAATTGTGGAATTTGAAGGATGAGGCTAGCTCTAAGCTACCTATATATTAGTGGAGCTGGTAGAAAAGAGTCACTATACCCTAATTTATTTACTTCAGCAATTCCAGCAACATATATTGGTTAGTTTGTTAAGTAAATATTAAATTACCATGCTTCAAGCATGACTGAAAAGTTATGTTGGTAAGAAATTTCTCAACACCATAGTGTCTGCTGATATAAACAAATAGGTATAAGATTATCCAAGGAATATTGAAACATTTCACATGCTTCACAAACAAAAAAGAGCCTGAATCAAACATAAAATTGTTACATACGACATCAAACACTATCTGGAAGGCCACAACAAAACAACTTGAAAATGAAAATAAATGGCGGTTTTAGTGTCACTCACCCAACTGATGATGAAGTGAAACTATGTGATGAGATTTATTTTGGTCTACCAGTGCATAGGCAACTGTGCCATAACTCTCTCATCCTTGTCATATCCAGTAGGCAAAGCAGAACAATCACTCTAAAAGTAAAAGAATGATGAAACAACGTCAGGCACATAAAGATATATTCTTTTCACAAATGGGGATGAATAGAGATGCTGAGAAATGCTTCAATTTCCCAGAAGAACCGTCAAGAAACAGAGACGTATCAAGATTAAACCGATAAGCTCTATTGGAGAAGATGACTATCGGAAAATTAGACCCCAAAGAGTCGCAGCAATAGCTAACCCCAGTTAAGACATTTATCTAGCTCTTCAAAACAGTCAGGCTCATTTCCTTCAACTATCGAACACCAATCATACAAAACATGGAAACAATACAAACTTATACTGTCCAGACTAGTGTATGTATAATGTACTATATGGCCAAATGTACATGTGATGCAGGACGTGTAGGACCTAAATTTATTAGTTTCCTAATGTATTTGTTTGTTTCCTAGATTCTCTAGTTTTCCAATTACTAGTAGGATTTCTACTTTTCCAGATTTCCATATTTCTAGTTTTAAGTTTCCTATTTTATTTGGGTTAGGATTTCTGTTTAAGTAAGGGATTTTTATCCTATTATTTCTAGGTTTTAGTTTGCTATAAATAACCCCATGTAGTTCTTTAAAATGCAGATTTGAATGTTGAGTAATTCCTAGAACTCTCTGATTCCGTCCCTTCGATCTATATTTCTTCTCCTTGATCTCCGATATTCTTCTTTGTTCTAATGTTTCTGCCCTTCATCTCATCTTTTCGATCTATATTTCTTCTCCTCGGCCTCTTATATTCTTCTATGTGCTATTGTTTAAGTGCTTAATCTAACACCTACGGGCTGTACTACATCAACATGCATTCATACACATACTAGAACATGCAAACTTCTAAATCAAAGTAAATTCGTATGGTGGTCTTTCAAGAAGTAAATTGCCCGTATCAAAATCCAAGAGAGTAATTAAAAGGCATGCTATGCATACACTGAACGCAAAAGTTCAGTAATTCCCCTTGTTTTGTGCATGTCATAGTAAAAGTAGCAGCACAATTACATGGTCAAATTAATAGGTAGCTGGAAGCTTAATGGGTAGACCCTAAAGAAAACAATTCAATTACCAATATATGCAAGCACTAGATGTAAAATTTACTTGGCTTTTACCTCAAGTGAATCAGTCTCACCCTGCAACTCAACCATCACAGGGCAATTCATGCTGCTCATTCAAAACATTAAATTTGTAATGGGTCAGAGTCAAAATTGATTTTTCAACCAAATTTCAGACTGATAAGGTGAATTGAAACCCAAAAAAAGAAATATTAAGTTCAATTCAATTCAATTCAAAGTTCAAATACCTGCTCTGCACAGCGGGGGTACCCAAGATTCTGGCACGTTCATATTTGGTCATAAATTTGGACGTTCTCCGAGGCCATTCCATGGGTGCTTGTTCACCTATGGCAAGCATAATACATGTAGCACCAAAGTTATGTATGGCTGTGGCATGCAGATGGCATATCATCTCCTATATGGCTTAAGGTGATAATTTTGAAACTCTGATCCAAATGAAATAGACTCTTCATCAAGCTTCTTTTTCAATCTTCTCCAAGTTCTCAACATATCAGATTGTATTAGCCCTTTGTAAAGTGTCTCAAAAGTAATCTTCTGAGGGAGAAGCCCCTTCTCTATCATCTCTACAAACAACTGGCAAGCCTCTCTCCACTTTTGTTTCCCACATAACCCATGAATCAACATGGTATACGAATCCAAATCAGGTCCTACCCCACTCTCTTTCATATCATTCCATATCTCTCTCACAATCTCCATACGATTCAATTCCAAAAGCATTCCCACCAGTATGTTATAAGTGTGCATACTGGGCACGCACAAGCCCTCCTCCTTCATCTTCCTGTACAGCTTCAAAGCACCCTCGCTGTCCTTTCTCCCCCTGTACTCTTTGAAGAAACAATTGTACGTCGCTGCACATGGACTAACCCCACTCCTCACCATCTCACCAAGCAATTCCTCTGCATCCTCAAGTCTCCCGCATGAGCAAAGACACTTTACAACTGAAGTATAAGTTTCCACAGTGGGGCAAATCCCTCTCTCTCTCATCAGCTTCAGCTTTTCAAGTGACAACTCGGGCTTATGTGCCCGACTATAAACATGAAGCACAATTGAAAAACTAGTGACATCAGGCTCAATCCCTCTCTCCCACATTTCCTTAAACACCTTCTCTGCATTCCTTATCGTCCTCTCAAACCTTTCCTCAGGGTGCAAACTCGCACGCCTACAAATACCATTCAAGAAGACATTGTAAGTTACAACATTGGGCTCAATACCGCGCTCAATCATATCCCTCAAGAATCTCTCCGCCATATCAAAACGACCAATCTTACACCACCCATAGACCAAAACAGTGTACATTTTGACGTCGGGCACAAACCCATGCTTCTTTTTGTTAAAAACTTCAGCTGCAACCTTAACATGGCCATATTTGGAAAGGGTATCAAGCAAACAGCAAAAATCTTGACTACTGGGTTTGGTTTGGACGAAGGTTTCCATGTCCTCAAAGGCCCGAACGGCTTGGCGGGTGAGGCCGGAGGAGATCAACCGCCGAATGAGGATGAGAAATGTGGAGGCGGTGGGGGTGAGGTTGAAGTTGTCCATTTCGAGGATGAGCTGCCAAGCAACGTCGTACTGGCGGACCTTGGCGAGGATGTCAATGAGGAGGTTGAAGGAGGTGGTGGAGAGAGGAGGGTCGGGGAGGGACTTGGCATAGTTGAAGAAGGCGAGCGCAATTTTGGAATTGTGGATGAGGCGCAGGAGGGTGTGGTTGAGGAGCTGAGGAGAGAGAGTGATGCCGTGGAGCTGCAGAGAAGACTCCATGGAGTGGAAGGGATTGTGGTGGTGGACAAGGATCTTTGATATTAATTCGGCGTCATTTGAGTGTTTTGCGTCGTCATTTGGATCATGAAGGAGGTTGGTGGAGAGTGAAGAGCAGCTGCGGTGGATTTGCACTGAAGGGAGATGAAGGAGAAAGGAGAAGAACTGGAAAGAAGCTGAGCGACTTTTGGCCACCAAAGTCATTATTTCAAAACAAAGATAGAACCTCCAGAGTCTCAGTCAAGAGACCAGTTATGAATTAAGTATCAGAGTAAGTAGAGCATCAAAATTAGGGGACAAATAATTTGAAAACCTGTTGCATGGTGATGACCAAATTGAGGATACTTTTGCCAATGTAAAAGCAAATCAACACCTGAGAGAAAAAAAAAAAAAAAAAAAAAAAAGACAATCAAAATCAGACAGAAAAGAAATTCAGATCCACAATTAAATCACAGAAAAGGAAATAGGACATCTAAACTAGAACGCCTCAAAACACCAAGAAACTTTGAGACAACCTCTTTTGGCTCGGTGGTTTTGGCACACAGAGAGTGATGATGGCCTGGCTGAAGAAATTTCTTGCCCAAGTGAAGTTTAAATAGCCAATAAAACTCACAAATTCAACCCCAATCGCAAAACCCACATCCAAAATAATCTGAAATAAGATGTCCAGTTGTTCAAATCAATACTTACAAGCCCTGGTGTTCGAATTGGAACAAGAAAAATTTATTTTTCCTTTAACCGGATACCTATAAGCCCTGGTTGTCCCAAATTTTCTAAATCCCTCTAAGTGAACACGTGACAAGGCACGACTGACTGCACCGGTGCAGCCATTATACCACAGAAGAACTTGTAACGGTTAGTTGATTAGTTAAAAAGGTAAAATGACAAGACAAAAATTGGAAGAGTTTGATTCACACCTATCTATAATTCAAAAAAAACAATATTTCAGGCGCATAAATAAACATATTTTAGACCCATCACCCAAAATTTAAAAGCTTTAGTCGTTTATATTAGATTAAGGAAACTTGTGTTAAAAAAAGAAAATTTTGAACTTTTGTCTATGATTAAAAAAAATTAAATGAAAATTCAAAACAATTAATTAGATGAAACTTCTGCCATGGATGGTAGAACACCTTGATAAATTAAGGAAACAACTGAAAAAATTCATTAATAAAAATTGTACATCTAGAACTTCAAAAGTAGCCAAAAAAAACTTCAAAAGTAACCTGAATCGAACTGAAACAACCATTGAAGAGATATGACTTACCATATTCTTTTGAGGATCAAGTATTTGTTGTTGCTATTTAACTACTCATGTAATTACCAACTAGCTATGAGTCTAATCGTATTTCTATTTCACAAACAAATAAGTTTAGGTCTTCTGAAGAGTTTTAAAGTTTTCAGTGATGGTCATTGCTGCAAATACTTTGATTGTTTAAAAAATTGAATACTTCATAAATCCTTTGATATTGTATGCTTTAAAAATATGAATTTCACATAATATTTAATGAATTACAGTGATAAAAGTAAAAAACGTAAGTAATTTTTGTTTAAAATTTAAAGTAAAATATTTGAGATGAGAATACTCATGAGTGAACTTGTTAAGTGCTTAGAACACAACTAGTTTTTCTCGAAAACTAATGTGGAGTAGTGGATTTCTTGCAAGGTAAAGGAACAAAGTCTTCAGGGGGAAAAGTGCCTTGTAGGAGCAGGGTTTGAGATAAAGGTGGAGAGAGAGATTTTTCATGAGTGGGATCTCAGAGAGAAGAAAATGGTAGCTTCAATGGAGGTGGGATTTTTGGTTGCTCCTAAGTAATGTACTTCGAGGCTAAAGAAATGAAGCAGATTTCCACAAACCAGCAGACTACTCAACACAAACCAGTTGAGGCCTCAAAACCCTTACAAATCAAGGCCTCTAACTTATCTGTGCATAATGAGCCAAAAAGTTTCTCCTATAGTTCTTAAATGATAAATTAATACTCACTCTTGGTAGGTATCTAAGAAATAAAATATTTCATATCCTTAGCAAACCTACAAGAGCTAAAGTAATAGTTATACAAATTATCAACCATCTACAAGGTCATCAAAAAATTTGAATAAATGCGGCAGCCAAAGTGTTACTCCCAAAATAATAAGGCAATAACGATAATAATAGCAAAGAAAAGAAGCATTATAAGGAGCAATCCTAAAATTAATGGAAAAAGGACAACTAATGGTGATTATACATGGAAGCCTATCAAAAAAGCATCTTTATTGCTTGTTATCTTTGATCACAAAATCATCAAATGTCCTATGGAGCTTTTCACAGGGAACACACATACCTGTTGTTTTCTGATGTAGGATATGGGTGAATTGAGTATTTGGGTAATTTAGAGGAAGCGAAAACAATGGAAAAACAGAAAATAGGTGGCAAAAGTCGCCTTGGCTCCACACCAAGGAGTCTCCAATCTTGGAAAGTAAACTTTTCTTAATATCTCAAATCTCCATTTTAAGGAACTACATAGGAAGTATTTATAGCAAACTAAAACCTAGAGACAATAGGATAAAATCCCTTACTAAAACAGAAATCCTAATCCACCAAGGAACTAATTCAAATAAACTAGGAAACTTAAATAAAATCCTACTAGAATCTGGAAACTAAAATCCTAGTGAAATCAAGAAAACTAGAGAATCTAGGAAACTAACTAATGATGTCCGCATCATTTTCTTTGGCAATGGCGTGGGCACACCCCACTTTCTTGGCTTCTTCTCGGCTTAGACTTTGAGAATAGCTCTCTTCCAAGAGTAGATACAATGACGATCAGCAAATCAGAACACAAACTCAAGATTACGCTCTATTGAAAAACTATATACGATGACAAAACTACATGAAGCTCTATTGGAATTTAACTTTAGCATTTCTTTATAAGTATGAAGCACAATTCTAAAAAGGAGCCGAACCTAGTGAGTGAAAGCATACGAAAACTACAAAGACTTGAGGTTTTCTAAGGACGTTCACTATTTACTCTGTTTAGCAGCTGCAAAAGGAGCTTGGTAAGAAAGAATAATACCTAAAATGTGTGACAGGCCCGCTTTGATTTTACTATGCATAGGTAATGGGTTGTATGTTATCATTTGAAATGGGGGCCTTAAAGATTAGATTCCAAAATCTCCCCCAAAAGAAAAGAAGGCATAAACCATTAACCTAGAAATCATATCTTAACAACGAATTTCTTTTTACAAATTTATAAATAAACCCAATCCTAGACATGTATTTATAAAAAAACCCAAGCACTATTTAAACATAGAAACACACCCAAAATCAACCTCAAAGTCAACTTTTTGGGTGTGTTTATAAATGGGTTTTGAGTGTGTGTAATGATGGGTTTTGGGTGTGTTTATATGTTTAAATAGTCTTTGGGTTTTTTTATAATTTCAACCCCCATTTTGGGTGTTTTAGTGAAACTCCCAATTCTTTTCTTATCCTACAAACTTATCCTGTCCAGACTAGTATATGTATAATGTATAAGGCCAAATGTATTAAATAAAGAGTGGAATTTGGATAAGGATGAAAATGGATTTTCATGGATTTAGGAAGGAATTAATGTGAACGACAAATGGATTGATTTGCTGACATAAATCCGGTAATCAAAACAATGATATTAGGAAGAGGATATTGAACGATAATGTTTGAAGAAGTGGGTAACTAATATCACATACTACTGATCGAGTTCTTTTTACTAATACCATCCTTTATTTTTGGAACAAAAATTAGAGGAAAATTTGCCAAAATGTAATTATTATTCAATTCTCATACGCAGAACACAACATGCAAACTTTAAAATCCAAGTAAATTGGTAAGGTGGTCTTTCCATAAGTAAATTTCTCATATCACAATCCAAGAGAGTAATTAAAAGACATGCTATGCATATGCTGAAAAATTCCCCTTGCCAATATAACTGAAACGAATCCAGTGAGATGTGCTTCTTTCAGCTCACGCATTTTCTCAAACACCTTGCCTACATTATTATTCCTTATTTTCTCAATCATGGCCTCATGACACAGACTCTCCGGCCCATAACTCTCTTTTAGCTAAGTATTATTTCACAGTCAACAATATGATTCAATAACCAATCAGATGCATCCAGTTTGACAAAGAAGGAAATACCTGAGATAAGATTCAAACTTTATGGTGCTCTGTAGCAATGCACAGACATTTGGGGAGAGAGAGAGGTTTTGATTGAATTTGGCTTCCTCTGCTCTCGACGTCCTACAAACAAGTAGGTAGGTAGTTGGGGTTTGCAAACTCAGAGCATAAGGCCTCAGAGAGGAGAGAGGAGAGAGTGAGGGGAATTTGAAACTGTGTATAGGGACTGAAATATCGTTAAAGAAGGGAAGATGGGAAAGAGAGTGTTGGGTCACTTCACTTTTTACCCCTTACGACGTCGTTTTGGCCTCTAAAGAGTTAAGTTAAAGCATTGGAGATGTGGTTTAATCTGAACCATTGAAATCTTCTGCATAGGTAATGAGTTAATTGTTGATTTGCCTCCTAAACTTATACCTAACTTTCGATTTACCCCTTATCTTTTTTTTAGAAAATTAAGGATATGAACTTTTTTTCCTTCAATTTCCCCCCTACCATCTAATTCTCAGCATTTCATCCAATTTTCTGTTATATCATTAAAAAAAAAAAAAAAAATTTAAATACAAAAAACAAAACCAAGAAAAAAACCCTACCCCACCCACAAACCCAGCACCCCCCTCTCCCGCCCCTCTAGGTTTTTTCTCCTTCTCATCCTCTCCCCGACGCTTCTCCCCCACACCTAGCGACTCCAGCCCATTCCCAGGGATTCCAGCTCAGCCCCTCCAACCATCTCTCTCTCTCTCTCTGAATGGTCAATGGGAGTAAAGGAAAGCTCATATAGAACCCATAAACATGATCAGAATGTTTTTCTCTATGTCTCTTAGCCTATCAATTGCCAAGTCAAATGGGTATTTAAAATAACAAATGTGTATTGTTTCAATTGGTGAAAACAAAACAATCATTTTGAGTTTTTGAAATTAAAAGTGGGTGTTGATGGCTTCATGAGTTGGAATTAGGGTGGTGGCTAGTGGAATTGGATGGAATTTGGTGGAGGCGGAAAGGAAGAGAGAATTCTCTCTCCTTCTGTGAGAGCCTACCCTCTCCATTTGTGAGAGTTACTACCATCTTGGTAAGCCTTAATGGCTGCTACTGGATCCCAACCACCCTCTGCTACAAAATATTAACTTCACTACCTTTCAGATCTCAATTCGTAGAAGCAATGAATTCCCCTCAACTACCTTCGAACTTTGAGATATGCCCCATCGATACAACCCCAAAATCCCGCTTCTTAAACTCTCCCAACTACTCATTGCCTCAAGAAGCAGGAAATTGTCATATCCCCTTATTAATTGCGATACTCTTCACTCATGTCTTTAAATCCCTTATGCATCTCACTGTCTATAAACAACTGAAAATCTCATACTAGGTACAACACCAACTTTGTGGAAATGCCCCCACATATAGCACAACGAGCAATAATATCCCACCGACCCAAATGACTTCTACAGGAGCTGATGAACTCGTGGTTCAATTGAAGGAATCTTTAGGCCTCTCAAATCTGGAGCATGGTCCAAAACTAGTGGGAGCAGTCATAGCCGACAATATGCCTAACCGTGGAGCTATAAAGAACATCCTGAAGTCAGCGTCGAAATAGTACGGTGAGGCAAAATTCATCTGGGTAAAAGATAATCTCTTCTCTATAACGATGCAAGATGAAGACATGGCAAACAAAATCTTAGATAATGGGCCATGGTCAATCATGAAGCAATGTTTTTCTATCAAGAGATGGCCATCCAAGCTTGCCATTGAAGAAGTAGATATGATGAATCTTCCCTTCTGGATCCAAATTAGAGGTATACCTCTTAACCTTTGTATGGAAGACAATGTTGAGAAACTGGGGAACAAAATTGGAGAAGTGGTGCAATACGACAGCCCCAACCAAGCCCGCGGCTATCTCCAGGTAAGAGTCCTGGTTAACACATAGAACCAGCTCCCTCCAGGCTTCTAACTCTCTCAGGCTGACGAGAACGAGACGTGGGCTGAATTCCAATATGAAAGGTTGTCTGACTTGTGTTACAAATGTGGGAAAATAGGCCATCTTAACACTGACTGTAGCTGTGAAGCTGCTTCGGAGGGGACGGCAGGCTATGGCACATGGACAAGGGCAAAGATTATTCGTGAGTTGGAAAACCAGCCCAAACCCACAGCTCTTTCAACTGGAGAGCGTCGAAATGTAGGTGTTGTTCGGAGTAAGGAGCAAGTAATAGTTATGCGCCTTGAAAGGAGGGAGACCTCTAGCGGTAAAGCTGACTTTGCCAGTACACCACATAAGGCAAATCAGAACAGTAGCCTAAACCTGCTAGAGAACAAACATCGAGAAGGCTTGGAAGGGTGTGAGGGGAACATATCAGGGCAATTAATTCTGAGAAGGTCTGAGTCCTATCAGCACCGGTCTATGTTGTTGGGCTCTATGCAGACTATTGACGACCCTAATAACACAAGTGGGCCTGAAGAGAGTTTGGCCCAATTGAGCAAGGGTAGAAACTTCAACCCAAATTGTAGCATTCCTGGGCCCTTGATGACTGACAATCTAAGTAACCCACTTGGACCTATGCAAATGAAAGATGTTGTGGGCCAAGGGACTAGGATGAGGGAAACGCTCACCAACCTAGGACTAAAGCGTGGTGTTGTAGTTGATAACCCCATATCTTTTCAATCCTAAAAAAAAAATAACAAAAGACAAAAACAGGTCAAGAAGAGGGATCCTCAAGTGGGGGAGAAAGGAGGAGGATCACCCCGATACAAAAACCACGTAGACACATACAAGTATTAAGGGCAAACTTGATTGCTGAGGAAAACCTCCAAAATGTTGCTGTTCTACAGTCAAGGGAGTGGGTGGCACATGAGGCAAAAATGGAAGAAGATATTTCAGGAGAAATTTCCCGGGGGTGGTGGCGGTTGGCCTGGAACAACCGCAAGTCCCCAATGATTTTCTTGTTATGGAACTGTCAAGGTCTTGGGTCAGACCTGATAGTTCGAGCCCTCCATGGGCTTATCCGGAAACACCGGCCCTCTGCTGTTATCTTGATGGAAACGAAGATGAAAACTAGCATAATAGAAGGTTTATGAAGAAGAATGGGATACCATATGGGTTTTGATGTGGCTCATGTTGGCACAACTGGTGGCTTAAGTTTATGATGGGATAGTGCTGAAATTCAGTTTAGTTCTACAAATGTTATTTGTTCTATGATAAAATCTATAAATACTCGGAGAGAATTTCTTGCCTATTGGATTTATGGGACTTCTTACAAGGAGGCAAAGAATGAATTTTGGGATTGGATGGAGCAATCTTTTGCTCCAACAAATCATGCTTGGTTTTGTGGAGGAGACTTCAATGAATTTTTTGTGGGGTTGTGAGAAGAG